ACCTTTTGCCTGATTCATAGTTTCCTTTTCCTATTTTACCTTTTGTCTAATTCATAGTTTTCTTTTTCTAATTTACCTTTGCTTGATTCATAGTTTCCTTTTTTTATTTTACCTTTCAATTAATTCATACTTCTTATCTTTTACTTTCATAAATATATTTGTTGTACAGTATCTTAAATCTTATACTTTTTTCTAAAATAACTAGAACTGAAGACATAACTCATCCCACTACTGCAAATATTTATGTGTATATAAATCACATCGCAGAAGATACTTCAAGTCTTTCAACTATCACTAAAGGGTTAGCAACAATGCTTATTGAGTCCAAAGCCAATCAAGAAAAACTAAATGCTGAGTTTTTAACTATATTAAATAAGATCCAAAACTAAATACAAAAAATTAAAAATCGTTAAGCTTCTTAAATCGATTACAATTCTAAGCTAGATCGTAAACTCGATCGAATAGCAGAAAAGATAGATGAAAAAATCAATGAGGACTTAGAAACCATGGCTAATGATATAATTGGATTAGTGGATGAATTTCTTGGTTATATTATAGAGAAAGTAAAAGGTGAAATAAACAAAAGAAATTTTAACTAAGCCTAATACTATTGAAGTTGATGATGATGATGACAATGACTATATTGAAGAATCTGATGAAAAAATCACTGACTGTACTGAAGATGGCTGACCAACAAAACAAAACAAAAAAAAGTCTAAAAAATCCTTTCTAGTTCTATGAGAAAAATTTATATAAAAATTAATCAGCATTTAGAATAGGCCAAAAAGAAAAAAAAAAAGATTGAGTGTTGCTAAGGATATCAGATATACCTATATATACAATTTAGGTAAAACTCCTGTGGCATCCCATAATAGTGATGTCACTAAAGCATATATAAAGTTTTTTCAGCAGGAACTAAAAGATAATCCAAATACTTGTAAGCTAATTCATTTACTATAATCTTATCTTGCTAGAGTTACTATTGCTATTTTTAAATTAACAATAAGTGAATTTTGCGAATTCTATAAATCTTGCATATTACCATTGTAAAACGATGGAAATATACAGGATTTATAGGATTCATGAAATTTATTTATCATGCTAATTCATATATATAATTTATTTATTTTTTGTTTCTCATATTATATATATGTTTATTTTTAGCTGAAAGA